TGCTCTTCTGCTCCGGTCGTACTTGAGCGTGTTGGAGTACATGGTCCAGGGGACTAACAAAGCTGCTGATACTATGCCGCCCTGGTCGAAGGATGATCTCCAGGTAGCGTTGGATGCCGGAAAGGGTAAGTCATTTCCATCTTCAAACTCTACAACATCAGGTAGCAGATACTGACTATCATACTAGCACCCGAGTTCCAACCCAAGTGGGAGTCCACCATCAGTCATCACATTGACCACATCATCCAAACCAACGCTACCAAAGTCGCTCTCAAGGACGGTAACGGCACCGTGCTCACATATGAGAAGATGGGCCAGCGAATTGACTCCATCGCTCAGGCACTCATCGACGCCGGAACCACGCAAGGCACAGTAGTCGGAGTCTTCCAAGAACCCTCCTCCGACTGGATCTGCTCCCTTCTCGCCATCTTCAAAGCTGGAGCAGTCTACGTTCCTCTCGATCTTCGCAACTCCATTCCTCGTTTAACTAGCATTGTCAAAGCCTCTCGGCCTTCGCTCATCATCACGGATCAGACGACTGATGACAAGGTTGAGCTCATTGGTGCCAAGTACATCACCCAGCTTCAGCTATCCGAGGTGGTTGATCAGGAGTTCAAGGAACCTAATCGTGCAAAGGTTGAATCTCTCGCTGTCATTCTGTTCACAAGTGGTTCTACTGGTGAGCCTAAGGGTCTCATGATGACGCATACCAATCTCATGTCCTACGCCGAAGTCTCAAGCAAGACCTTCTCCAAGCCTGATGAAAGCCTCGTGGTTCTTCAGCAAAGTCCCTTCAGCTTTGACTTTTCTCTTGATCAGACCGTGGCTGCGTTGGCGAACGGTGGATGTCTTTGCATCGTTCCAGCGAGCAAGAGAGGTGATCCCGATGAAATCAGCAAGATCATGGTCGAAGAAGGTGTTACATACACTACTGCTACGCCTTCTGAGTATGACATGTGGTTGCGATACAGTACCAGCACTCTACGACAATGCACCTCGTGGAATTACGCTTTCTCTGGCGGTGAAGCAATGAGCCACAAACTGGCCCGCGAGTTCGGAACGCTGAACCTGAAGAATCTTCACGTCTTCAATGGCTATGGGCCAGCTGAGACGACAATCCTCTCCCATCGCATCGACCTCCAGTACACAAACCCCAATCTTCCAGATCCCCTTCCTGCAGGTTACCCCATGCCTGGCTTCTCAGTGTGCATCGTCGATGAGAAGATGCGGCCTGTTCCTCTTGGCGTGCAGGGCGAGATTGTCCTCGGTGGCCCATGCATCGTCTCTGGCTATCTCAACATGCCTGACGCTACCAAAGACAGGTTCCTGCCGGATACCTTCTTCGGAACTAGTGGGAAGGTATACCGCAGTGGAGATCGTGGTCGTCTATGCCATGGTGGTTTGCTTTTCTGTGACGGCCGTCTTGAAGGCAGCAACATGATCAAGCTTCGAGGTTTCCGAGTCGAGTTGGATGAAGTAGAGAAGACTATCATTAGTCACTCCGCTGGTGCACTCTCTCACGCAGTAGTTACTCTACGAGGCACTGAGGAAGGCCGCTATCTAGCAGCCCATGTTGTCTTTGCTCCCGAGTTCACAGAGCACAATCGAGAAAGTATCATGAAAGCCCTTCGTCAAACCCTTCCTCTTCCTCCCTACATGCGCCCTTCCGTCTTCCAGATCCTTGCAGACATCCCACGAACCGCCCATCTCAAGGTCGACAGAAAGGCCATTCAAGAAATGCCCGTCCAGATCTCTGTCTCCCACGACTCTGGAACTCTGTCTGTTGCTGAACAAAGACTGAGCGAGCTATGGCGTCGAGTCTTGCCTCTCGATCCTGGATCCCTTTCTCCCGAGTCTGACTTCTTCCTCATTGGAGGCAATTCTATTCTGCTGGTGAAGCTGCAGGCGTTGCTGAGACAGACTTTCAAGACAGCGCCAAAGCTAGTTGCGCTCATGGGAGCTAGTACGCTCGGTGCAATGGCTGCTGTTCTTGAGAGCTGTGGATCTGTCGGTGTCATTGATTGGGACCAGGAGACCGCGCTACCCGATGACCTTCAAGGTGCTGTGGCATTGCGTCCCGTGAACAAGATTACCGACATCACGGTCCTCCTTACTGGTTCAGCAGGCTACCTTGGTCGTCACCTCGTACCAGCACTCGTCGAGGACCCCCGGGTTACACGAGTCCACTGCCTGGTGCGGTCAGTGAACAACGAGAAACTGAGTACCAGCTCAAGCAGCAAAGTCAGAGTTATCGAAAGCGACCTGTCGAAACCAGGCCTAGGTCTTTCTGCATCGACATACTCTCGTCTTGCTGAGGAAACCGATGTGATCATTCACTCTGCAGCTAATCGGTCTTTCTGGGACAGATACGAGGTTCTCAAACCAGATAACGTGGACTCCGTGAAAGAGTTGGCCAGATTCGCCGCTTCTTCTGGTCGCTCGATACCATTGCATTTCTTGTCATCTGGAGCTGTCAAGATTTATGATGGAGATGGTGTTACGCCACCTACTGATGGTAGCGATGGTTACGTGGCTACAAAGTGGGCTTCAGAGACATTCCTGCGAAATGCTGCTGGTTCAATCGGCCTTCCCGTCTACGCGCACCGTCCCACTGTGAGCAGTAAGGCGCAAACCAAGACGGATCAAGCCTCGATCGTCGACGAACTCTTCAGCATCGTCAAGTCCCTTGGCGTCCGACCATCTTTTGAGGGGGTCACCGGCTCAGTAGATGTGCTTCCTACCGGTGACATTGTCAAGGCTATCCAGGACTCTGTCTTGAGCTCGAGTGCTGGGGGTGAAGGATACAACATTTTGCAACATGAAGCACATCAACGCGCTTTCGTGGAGGATTTCGCAGGCGTTGTGCACGCTGACGATAGTTTGAACAAACTTCCTAGTATTTCTATCTTAGATTGGTTTGGTAAGGCGAAGAAGGCTGGATTTTCTTATTTCCTTGCGTCTCAGAATTTGGTCATGGGTTCGGGTGAGGGTCACTTGGTTTCGAGGCGTTGATTGTGTTTCTACCTCTAGAGTTTCTTTCATTTACTAGATTCGATAGATAACCAGATTGCAATAGTTCATTATAGATCAAGTTCCTAAGAGGCCGTGTTTTATTAAGTCTGATTATGCGAATTCAAAGCAGCCAAGCTGCTGTCCTGTACAAGAGACTGTTTTAAAAGCACAACGTCGAATGATAACACTCGGCCGAATCACACAGGCTATCCACTACTTCACAGCCACTCTATGACGACCAAATGGCATCGATCACTAAATTCATCACAGGTACACCCTTTTACCTAAGTAAAGAGTTTACCCTCTTGACAGGAGTAAGGGAATATTAGAAGATTATAAGGTATTAAATAAACTTGTCAAAATATTCCCTCAACTTAGCACAGATATCCTAAGCTTATACCAAGTTACCTAATCTTTTTCTATTACTTAGAATCAAGATCCTGAGTCTTCTTTCCTCCCCTTGTCCCTACACCCTTGAATAGGCCTAGCACTTTTGTTAGTCATCTCAACTTCAACATCTTAGTCGTTGCGCACTCACTGTGTGAGAAATATCTATCCTTTGTTAAGCGAGAGATTCGTTAAAGCGCTCATGGATCGACCGCTTAACGAGTTTTGGGTGAATAGTCGGTTTGCTAGGCTTGTCGATCGTACGTCTTGCAAGATGCGGGTGATCAGTAAGCTTATCATGGTCTGTCGCCGAACGCTTTGCCAGGTGTGGGTGGTTCGTTGGCTTGTGGTTCTTTGCATCAGTGGGCTTCTGTTCAGCAGTGATACTTATCATTCGCAACGTATTAGATGGCGCTCCTTGTATTCTGGGGTGTTTACTTACGCTTGAACTGCTCCGAAAAGAAGGCAAGAAAGGAGAATGGACTTGATCCCCAACATTGTTGTTCTCGGTTGGACTTTGCGAGAGGTTTTTGCAGATTGTATTTGTGTTTTAGATGATCCATTTTCGATAAGAACTTGGTGCCCTTATTTATAGGATAAGAATTACATGTTGTAGCCCGTATGCCGAGTACCCTCTCTATAGTTCAGCGGGGATTTAATAGAGTTTACAGGTTGCACCACGTAGTCGGGTAAGGCGAGATTTTAGCTTCGGCACTCAGGGGCCATTAGCCGTAGAAAAGCATGCCGATACGACCCGAGTATAAGAAAGCCTGCGACCTAATAATTTCTCTAGCCGAGTTCCGACAAATGCTGCAGAACGACTTCCAAGTGGGTTGACGGTCGACATCTATACCAGATACTTCTATTTCTTTGCCCCCTGCCGCTTCCTCAAGCAAATCGGCCCTGTGCCTTCAATAGCAATTATTGACCATACCAAGTCTCAGCTCTATGTTGTGATGACACACTGTGAACCAAATATCTAAAGGGGAAAGTTGATTAACGTGTACTGATTCATACTGATAATTTTTGCAGACTTGCAAAAGCAGGAGCAAACGTCTAATCTCTCAAGGTCAATGCGCACGTGAGTCGTCCCACCTTGTTGGGAATATGCCTGCAACTTCATGTAACGGTAGCAACGGCTCGTACTCCATAATTTGCCTCTTCAAAAGTATAAATCTTTTCGGCTCTATTATTTTGCCCTACGGCCGTTATGCCTATGGTGATCCCTTTTCACCAGTCGTTGACCTCGTATTAGCAACCTTAGCTAATATCATAATCGTGTGATTTGGGATGGGCTAATTAATTGCCCGACAAAGCACGGATCTTCTGGCTTAGGCACGCTGTTCATTGTCACTTCTCACTCCCGCGCCAACCTTTGTCCGCCTCCAACTGACATCATCAATTCCGGCCCAGGCTTGTTGAGCTTGGGTCTTGTTAGGCACTTATGTCTCGGGCTATTATTCGAGAGGACTTGTTGGCAAGGGCGCTATGATTATCTCTACAGAGCGAGCTGTGTCATACCAGACCATCTTGTTGCAGTCAAACTCATTAACATCAATAGCATTACCGGCAATCTTGTGTAGCTGTTGGAGATACAGCCTCTAATTTTTAGACCTGAATAGAGATACCAACACTCCCGTTTCAAACCACTCGCGGTCCTTTTTCCAAGCATGGACAATAATATCTCTTCCAACCTTAACAACCCCCTCGAAGTTCTCTCGGCCCCAGGCTGGGAAGTCAGTAGTCACGCAAACAAGATGTGTTCCAACGTGTATAGCGGTCCGAAAAGCAAAGTCTTCGCTGATATCTCCGTATCCTTCAATAAATCCTTTCATCATCCATAGTCCTGCGTCGGCGGACTTGTATAGCCACAACGCGTACATTTCGGCAATCATTTGCCCAGAGTCTACAATGGTCAGACCTAGTTGCGTCATTTCCCAGTCCACGACGAATACTGGAATCTCTTTCCCTTCTTCTATGGCAACATTGGGTAGAACAACACTGCCAAAGTCAGCTTTCAAGTCATACGAAAGGATAATGAACTTACTTTCCGGTCCAAAAGTCTCCGTGGATTATCTGAAGTTTATCTATGTCATCCTTTTCTGCTGCGGCCATCTGCTCTACTTGAGCGAGAATATCTTTCGCATCTTTCAGTATGCTTGGATATTCTTTAATCCGCTCATGAAGCCATGCGTAGTTCACCATATGCCTCACAGCTTGGCCAAACTCGTTCTGGGCGACGAGGTCTCGGTGTTTAATTTGTTGAGCACTCCATGTGACAAAGTCCCGTAGCCATCTACCAACTGCTTTTCCGAGTTCCTGGCATTGGGGCTTGAAGGAATCTGGCGTTGGGGAGCCATAGTTTTGAATGGCATAGTCCTTCAAATGAATGCCATCAGACATAAACTCCAATATCTGAGTCGAGCTGGCTTGATCAAAATGGTATAGTTTTGGTGTTCGTACAACGAAACCATGTGTTTCTTTCGGCGTATTGTCGAACGATGAATCGCTGGATAAGATCTTGAGACTCTCTGTCTCAATAACGCAGCGGAGTGGGGGAAGCGCAAACTCTGGCTTGGACGCCATATACGGCTCTCCATGCTTGACTAGAACCTCCTTCTCTCCATTTTCCAGAGGCTTCACAAGCTGTGCCTTGTAGATCCAATTGACAGATCCACCCGTGATCTTGTTGAGTTCTAAAAACTCAAACTTGGTGCCTTCGAGTGCTTTCCGGGCTTTGGAGTCGATATCAGTGTGTGTTGATGTCATGGTGATAGAGATTCTTTCCGAGCAAACTTAGCAAAGAATTTCACAAGTGGACTATAACAAACTCAATGGCAAGTAACGTTCCTATATAGGTGGTTGGTGGTGATCGTCAGTCAGCATTATGCCAAGTATTACAACTGACATCATCTGACTGTTATTACCTCAGAGGCTTCCAGATCTCAAGGGATTGGTGGAAGACGTGCCTTAGCTGGTAATGACTCTTGAAGAGATATGCGGTGAGATGATGGTGTTCAAGCCACAATCGAACTGTCGCACATTACGTTGACGGCATGAGTTTTTGAAAACGAAGAGGTCTATTCTGGGAATTCTATGCATCTATCGCTATTCTATCTCATTAAGTCTAAGCCATAAGTTCTTTCCTCTCACCATCTAAAGATGAGTAGCGTCCTCCTTGATCTTGGCCATCATTCGCTGACCAATCTCACCATCAACCTTGCTAAACATAGCAACGACAGCCTCTCGCAAAGGAGTAGGTGTGCCAGCCAAGCTTCCAACAACATTGCCAACAAACTTCTCCTTCTCAGCATCATCAAAGACCCTCCTCCACAGATCCCGAGGCTGGACAAAGTCCTCATCATCGACGGGGATCTCGTTCAGACCGAGCAGTGCGTTAGCGGCGATGCGCTCGTGGTGTGTGATCTGAGTGATGGATTGGGTGGTGACGCCGGGGCTGAGAGTGCTTCGGACGTAGTTGGGGTCACCTCCGTAGTTCTTGGTGGTGGTGATGCCATCACGGACAAAGGGGGCATATACGGGTGCGATGGGGCGGTTGGGAGGGAGTTGGGCGTAGTTGGAGCCGAGGCGGTATCGCTGGGCGTCGGGGTAGGCGAACATGCGAGCCTGAAGCATTGGATCGGGGGTCATGGCGATACCAGGGACCAAGTTCGATGGCGAGAAGGCAGCTTGCTCAATCTCGGCGAAGTAGTTCTCAGGCTATGATCCGTCAGTACTTGGGTCATCCTTGTCTTCCAGTGATGAACTTACGTTCTTGTTCAATGTCATCTTTCCAACCTCAATCAAAGGAAACTCCTTATGGGACCAAATCTTGGTAATGTCGAACAAAGCCCGACCAAAGGTCTCAGCCCTCTCAGGCTCCATGATCTGAACATACAACTTCCAGACTGGGTATTCGCCACGAGCAATAGCATCCCATAGATCCTCAGTATGGTAATCAGCATTAGCACCAGCCTTCTTCTCAGCCTCTTCAGCAGAGGCAAAGCTGGTGTGGCCAGTCTCGGGGCGGAAATGGAATTTGCAGTATCGGGGACGGCCAGAGCTGTCGATTAGCTTGAATGTGTGAACACCGAAGCCGGTGACGCGGCGGATAGAGTCGGGAAGACCACGGCTGCCGAAGAGATGCATCAGAGTGTGAACACTCTCGGGTTGGTTGACGTGAAAGTCCCAGAACTAAAACTATTAGATCATGCAGTCATAATAGCCACTTCGGGCAACTCACCATGGTAGCATCAGGTCGGTTGGTAGCGGGATGTCGCTTGTGGCTTCGGTTCAACGAAGGGAATCGCATGGGATCGCGAACAAAGAAGACAGGCTAAGGTGGTCAACAAAAGATTCACCACCAATCACAGGATCGACACTTACAACATGGTTTCCGACAATGTCGTAGTTTCCTTCCTCAGTAAAGAACTTTACAGAGAAACCTCGGACATCGCGAACAGTATCGGCGCTGCCCTTCTCACCACCAGTGGTACTGAGACGGAAGAGAACCTGAGTCTTCTTGCCAGCGGTGTCGAGGAACTTGGCGCAAGTCAATTGAGCGATTTCAGGGTTTGTGACTTCGAATTCTCCCCAGGCCCCAGCAGCTTTGGCGTGAACCACCCTGCGATGTTTGTTAGTTGAGTTCTTGTGGACGCTGAAAGCGAAGGTGAGATTGAATGGGAGACTTGCCGCTCAGGAATGCGCTCTCGGCTGAAATGGGCCAGAGTCTCAAGGAGAAGGGTATCACCAAGAGTTGTGAGACCGCCGCCGCCAAAGACGGGGAGGGTAGTGCTCACGGAGGGGTCGCGAACAGGCTGACCTACACTAGTTAGCTGGGCCAGGACATATTGGCGACTCATACCTACCCTCAGTCAAAGTATACACAGGATTAGACATTTTGAAAGGCTGAAATTAAACGTAATGAAGAAGAACAATTCGTAGTTTCAATGACGAGAAAGAAACGAGGGAATTCCCCAGCCTTAAGATAAATTTTGCACTCCTCATTACGGCATTGTCAATGCCGAGCCCGCCCCGACAGATAAGAAATGGATCTCATCTCTGCGGGCCTCTGTTCCAACATTTCGATAAGATAGAGGTTATCGCGAACAATCCCCATACAAGCCCAATCACAGCAGTTACTTTTCTAAGCCGCAATCTAGAGAGTGGACTCGGTGTTCCCGGTAGTATTACTGCTTGCGGCTAGTGCCCCCTTGCCGAAGAGCCGCTAAAACTGGACCCCGAGCGAAGCTGTTCTAGAAACAGATACCGGAGCTGACTCGGCATCTTTGTCAGATTCTTTGTCACACGGGTTTTGTGCGGGATTTGCGAGTTTTTGCAGATGAGGCTTGACTGCGCCTCGAAAGTGCTCGAGTTTTCGTATGGGGAATACGTCACTGGTTGAACACCGAGAGATCCGCATAGAAGCAAACATCAATGTTACAGCAGAAATGTCGGCATGTCGATGCCGTGAGACGCGTATGTCGGGGATGTGCATCTTGAACACGGAGAAGTTGGCCAGTGACGACATTGCAAGATGAGATATATAAATATCACGGCTCACGATGGGTTTTGGTGTTTTGCAATTCAGCAATCACTCAGACTTCACTCGCAAACATCTCAACTACTACAAACTCCTCCGCTTCTTCAATAGACTCATCTCATCTCCCTCACTCTTCCAACACCTTCAACAAATCTACTTCAGCATATCAAAGTCGGCAAGATGGCATTCGTCGCAAACGGAAATGAGTACGACTTCATCATCGTCGGCGGCGGCACAGCAGGAAACACTGTAGCAGGCCGTCTCGCCGAAAACCCCCACGTCCGCATCCTCATCGTCGAAGCCGGCATCCCCAACCCGCACCAAATCCCCGAAATCACCACACCCTCCAAGGCCTTCAACTTGCGCGGCAGCAAGCACGACTGGGCCTACAAGTCCACCATGATCAAGCGTGACGACTACGAGCGCATCGAAAAGCCCAACACCCGCGGAAAGGTCCTCGGCGGTTCGTCCTGCGCCAACTACTTCACCTGGATCCCCGGCTCGAAGCCTACCTTTGACGACTGGGAGGCTTTTGGCGGCGAGGACTGGAACTGGGATGGTTGTGTGGAGTATCTTCGCAAGTGTGCGACTTATCATGATGAAGAGGGGCTTTATCCCGCTGAGCTGGGAAAGATTGGCACCGGGGGCCCTATTCAGATTGCGCATGCTGATCTTGTTCCTGAGATGCAGCCTTGGCGTGATGCTTTGACTGAAGCGTGGGTCTCAAAGGGTGAGGTCTTGACGGAGAATATTTACGATGGTGAGATGAGGGGTCTTACGCATTGTGTTGATACGATCCATGGGGGTCAGCGACAGGGAAGTTTCTTGTATCTCAAGAACAAGCCCAATGTCAATATCCTCTATGGCGTCCAGTCCAAGGAGCTGATCATTGATCCTCGCACCAACACTTGTCTTGGTGTTACTGTCATCAATCCTGACACTAAGGGAGAGCTCAGCGTCTTCGCCAGCAAGGAAGTTATTCTGTCTCAGGGTGTTTTCGAAACCCCCAAGCTTCTCATGCTTTCTGGTGTTGGTCCCGCCCAGGAACTCCAGAAGAATGGTATCAACGTCAAGCTCGAATCTCCTCACGTTGGCCAGCATCTTCTTGACCACCCTATCGTTCCTTTCGTTCTCCAAGTCAAGGATGGCTTCGGTCTGGAGGACTACATCCTTCGAGACGGTGCCGCCAACAGCGCTGCTGTCGCTCAGTACAAGCGCGACAAGACCGGCCCTGTCAGCTCTGGTCTCCTCGAACTCGTCGGCTTTCCCCGTATTGATGAGCGTCTCGAGCAGCACCAATCCTACCGTGAAGCCAAGGCTGCAAATGGCGGCCTCGATCCCTTCGGTCCCAAGGGCCAACCTCACTTCGAGCTCGACTTTGTTGGCATGTTCAGCACTGCTTTCCAATGGCACTACCCCGTTCCTGAGAAGGGTAACTACATGACCGTCATCGTCGACCTTCTCCGTCCACTTTCTGAAGGTCAAGTCACACTTAACAGCAACAATTCCCTTGTCCAACCCAACATCAACCTCAACTTCTTCGGCAATGATCTCGATATCCTTGCTATGCGTGAGGGTGTTCGCTGGACTTATGATGTTCTCACCACTGGCAAGGGCTTTAAGGACATTGTGACAGGCGAGTATCCTTGGAGAATGCCCCTTGAGTCTGATGAGGAGATGAAGAGGGCTGTCCTTGACCGCAGCCAGACTGGTTTCCGTAAGTAAATCCTCTGATTCTAAAGCATTATACTGACATTATTTACAGACCCTTGTGGTACTGCACGTCTCTCTAAGAACATCCAGCAGGGTGTTGTTGACTCTCGTCTCCGTGTTCACGGCATCAAGAACCTCCGCATTGCTGATGCCTCCGTCATCCCAGTCATTCCTGACTGCCGCATCCAGAACTCCGTTTACATGATTGGAGAGAAGGTGAGATCTTTTTCTGTCCGTTCTTGGTGACTTCACTGACATTTTCCTAGGGTGCCGATATGATCAAGGCTGATCATCCTGAGATCTTTGGCCAGGAAGCTTCTACCAGGGCCAACCCATTCACTAGCCGCCTATAGATAGATGTAGAAGCTTAATCAGAGGCACTGAGATTAGAATTGGTTCGCGTTTAGGCATAGCATATAGACTTAAATGATTTTGCAATAGACTTTTTTATCATACTCTATTGCTACCTATCTTGAGGCTGATAAAATAGCTGGTCAGACTGAATCGGCAGCCT